TGGTCTAATCTGATTTGTAAGAAAGAATTGAGGTCATGATAGTGGGGTGAAGGAAGCACCAAAGAGCTAGAGGAAAGTTGTGTTTCATCAGTGCTACACTGCTCCCTGTCTGGCTCATCTCTTCCCTGTGACCCCTCTGTGAGGGGGTGCTCAATTGTCTACAGATGGGCATTGGATCTCCACTCCATGCCCCTCACCCCCACCCCATTCACTTTGGGTATGGTTTTATTCTGGGTCTTAGATGCCCGATACCTGATCCCATCGACACTTCATGATCACACAGGCTGGTGTGCTTCTTCCATGTGGGCTTTGTTGCTTCTCAGCTAGATGGCCGCTTGTTTATCTTCAAGCCTTTAAGACCCCAGACGCTGTATCTTTTGATAGGTGGGCACCATCAGCTTTCTTCACCATATTTGCTCATGCACCCATTTTGTCTTCAGCGATCTCGGGAAGGTGAGCATCACAGAATGCCGGATTGTTAGAACAAAGTGTTCTTGTGTTGAGGGAGTACCTGAGTTGAGGCCCAATGTCCAACTTCAACCTTAATTCTTAACATGTAGATATGAGTACATAGTTCTATTCCCCTCTCATTATATATATATATATATATATATATATATTTACATGTGTACATGCCCTACAGGGTGATTTTTACTTCATTTATTTTTGCTTCATTTCAATGAACTGTCTTGCATTCTTTTGTTTTACTTACACTTTCGATCTCACTTGTTGGGTTCTCTACATCAAACTCAAAACTTACTGCCATCAAGCTGATTCTGACTCATAGCAATCCTATACATCAAGGATCTCAATTTTCCTAATGGCTCTTGGCTTAACCATCTCCCCTATCAGATTCTTTCCAATTGACTTAATCTTTGTCCCCACCTCCCCTGCATGTATTGTCCTTTCTTGTATTAAACCAAACATTTCTTGTATACAATAACTTAATTTCCAGTAGTATCGATTCTGTTGCTTCCTCTAATTCATTCCTCCTCTAAATTAGTTTTTATGGTCTTCACTTTGTCCCCTTAGGTCGGCAATCTTTTTTTTAATCTTAATTTTAAATCTTTATTGACAGCCTATTTTTATGAAGTTGTTATAGTGTGTAAACCAGTGGTGGGATTCAAATAACTTAACAACCAATTCACTGCCCTAAGGATCATTTAAGTGTAAAAAAATGACATACCAGTAGAGTTTATTATTTCGTATAGCTAATATTTAAGTATTATGTAAGTGCTAATTTATATAATAAGAAGAATAAAAGGCACAAAACTAGAAAAGATAGAAGAGTTTTAAAATATTAATGAAAAATATTAAATAATACCTGACACAAAGGATAAAACTGTTATTTAAGATATTGCCATATTGCTTCGTGATGGGTGTCCTCACTTGCAATCTTTTTCACTTTTATCAGAGGAGCATCATCAGCTGTGTGATTTATCCTGAACCATCTTTTCACGGTAGTAGGGTCCCGTTCCTTTAGAAGTAGGCTGATTAGACAACAGTCATTGTGCTTCATAGATTGGAAATAGGCGACTTCTCTTCTCTGCCCTTATTATGTTCATCTTTGAAAAAGCCCTTTCTGCTTCTGCTGAACTTACATCAATTGTTCTGACAATATTTTTAGCTCTTTGAGGCCTCAGGGATTGCATAAATCACTCATAATATCTTGTGGGGATTTGGGTGTAACACAAAACTGAAACAAATGGCAGTGTGTCACCTTGTGATTGCTTGGCATTTTTTCTCTTTATGTTATATGTTTGCTTACTGAAGTATCAAACACAGAGGAAGAAAAATGTAGCATTTCATCAAAAGTATGAGTTTTATGAAAAGAATAAATAAATGTTACAAGCATAGTTCTAATTTTTTATTCCTATGGACAGAAGTGAACATTACTACAGGTGCTTAGAATACGCTGTTGCACAGATGAGCCTTAATAAAGAGCAAGGAATATACATTTGTGATTTCCACATGGGGCAGCTGCCCAGCCAGTCACCTTAGAGAGAACCCTAATGACAAATGTCATTTTAACAATTAGTTCGCCGAACTCAACAAAATATTAGGCATCAGTTCTGTGGAACAGGTGAGAACAAGCTGAATCCCACCACTGGTGTGAACCAATTATAACCGATTTTCTTCTGTCTCGAGACTTATAGTTTATTTTAATGAGCGTATTGGTTGGTCATGGTGCTCTTTCCTTTTCTTTGTTGCCCCCACATCATTTCTGTTCTCCCTGCTTGGGCTTGGGTGGTTTCTTTCACTTGCTACAAGGATACAATGGAGTAAAATCTCACCTCCTTTACTTATCTAGTGCTGACACACCAGAAATACCACAGAGTGGCTTTAAAGAACAAAATAAAATTTTCTCACAGTTCTGAAAACTAAAAGTCCAAATTAGAGTCGCGACCCTGTCAACTCTTTCCTTGCCCATAGTCATGTGTGTTCCTTGTCTCCTTGGTGTTTCTTGGCATTCCTTGGCTTGTGGATGATCCTCACATGCTGGACGTCTTCCCTGAGGTGTCTATCTTGTTTGGTCTTTTTAGAACTCAGAAATAATTAGGAGCCACCCTGGTATGACCTCATCTAATGGAGTGATTATATTACATTGTATTGCATTACAGAAGGCCATTGCATTAAATAACAGTGGGTGTGAGATAATTATATCACGTCACATTACACCCCACTTTGGAAGATAATATACTCTAATCTGGGCCACCTGATCTAATCCCATGTACCTTCTCAGTGGGAACGATAGCCACTGGGAACCATAGCCTAGTAGGGTTGACCATTACAATTCCCCTTCTATATGTGAGTGGAATTACAATTTGCTCTGTGAAGACTAGGCAGCTTCTCTAGCCTGAGGGACTCATGTTGGGATGGAAGGAGGGGAGGACGAGCTGAGTCACAATACTAGAGTCCTGCTTTCTCCCCAAAGAACTAGCTGAATGTCAGGCACAGGTCAGCACTTCTGGAGGAGTGAGGAGTGCCATCATTCGAGGTTTGGCTAGGAAAGTTTTTCAGATGTTTTCCTCACAGCAGATTTTTGTCTGTTCCCTAGGACAGAAGGATTGGGGGGATGTATGTGGAGGGGGGAGAGCTGCATGGTATTTGGAAAGTTTGGCAAAGCGTGGGACAGGTGACAGCCTCACAGGTCGTAGTTGACCCCACCTCCACCTTATTGTGACCACTGGGCTCCAGGACAATCAGAGTTTAAGTTCCATTAGATTACAGGCATGTTTCAGGCACATTCTACGCTTCTAAGACCACTTGCCAAACAAAAGTGAGGATTTCAAACAAATATTAACAGACCAGAATGAGGAGGGATATTTAAGGTTTCTCAATAAGGCCACCACTATCCAGCTAATAAGTCAATGTAGAGACAACAAAAATCCTGGACTGGACTGACAGACAACACCATGATTAAGATTGAAGTCAAAGATGTCATTGCACTGGGATCCACAGTCAACACTCATGGAAGCAGCAGTCAAGAAATCAAACCACTCAGAAGGGTCCTTAGGCGAGAAGTTGGTGAGACTTCTCTCACATAGGGTGCTTTGTCAGGAGGGACCAGTCCCGGAAGATGGACATCATGCTTGTTAGAGCAAAGGATCGGTGGAAAAGAGGCAGACGCTAAATGAGATGGGTTGACACAGAGGCTGTAATGATGGGCTCAAACATAACAATTTTGAAGACAGAGCAGGACCAAGCAGTTCTGTTGTATTGAGGGTTGCTGCTATGAGCCCCGGTGGTGGAGCAGGTTAGGCACTCACCTTGTGCTGAGCAGTTTGAAACCACCTGATCTAATCCCATGTACCTTCTCAGTGGGAACCATAGCCACTGGGACCATAGCCTAGTAGGGCTGACCATTACAATTCCCTTTCTATATGTGAGTGGAATTACAAATAGCCTCGGAGGGAGAAAGGTGAGGCTTTTTACTCTCTGAAAAAGTTACAGTTTTGGAAACCTCAGAGGGGCAGTTCTACTCTGTCCCAAAGGGTCACTATGCGTCGGAATCAACTAGACGACAGTGAACGAGTGAGTGGCTGAGACGAGTCGGAAGTGTTGAAGAGCAATGTTATCGCTTGGAAGGCTAAGGTTTGTACGGCCCACGTCTTGGTACTTTCCCAGTCACCTTATGTGCAGGTAAAAGATGGACAAGGAGAAAGGATGATCGAAGAATTGACGAGTTTGAATTCAAGACCGTGGCTTTCCAGAAGAACAAACAAATCTGTTTTGGAAGAAGTACAATCAGATGCTCCTCAGAACTGAGGCTGGTGAGACTCCAGCTTACACACTTTGGACATGTTATCAGGAGAGAGCAGTCCCTGGAAAAGGTCATCGTGGTTGGCAAAATATGGTCATTGATAAAGAGGAAGGCCTTCAAGGAGAGAGACTGATAGAGTGACTGCAACAAACGGTTAGACGGAACAAATGGAAGGCTAGTGCAGGGCCCTGCAACCGGGCAGTGTTTTGTTCTGTTGTGCACAGGGTCTCCATGAGTCCCACCCACTTGCCAGCACCACCACCAACATCCAGATCAATCAAGTTAAGGGACACCAGCACCACAGTGTACCAATAGGTGGGTTGGGGGTGCAAACACACTCCTTGGAGAAACGAACTGATTTGTTCTGATTCAAGCTCACACCCCTTGTGACCTGGTCAAGGGTTCCATCCTTGCGTCTCAGGGGAGGGGGAAGTTCTTTGTCCCCAACCCCTCCAGCTTCTCAGCGCCCGCGGGGCGGCGGATATGGAAGGACAGAGGCCCTCACTGACCTCTTCCTGCGCCTGACCAAGGAGTTACCTATGGGGATGTGGTGGAGACTGGCGGAGTCTAGGAGTCTAGGAGGAGGTACCTTGAGAAATGCAATAGTTAAACTTGACTATTGGGGGCAGGGAGTAGGGGCGGGGGAAGAGAGAGATGATTCCGGGAAGCGCCGGCAGGAGGCCGGGAAGGCGTAGTGCCCTATTGTCAGCAGCACGCGTCCCCGCCATCCCTTTACCTTTGCTGTCAGTCCATCGTCGCGGCCCGGGTCGGAGGTGCTGACTTCAGGGCCCCCAGCTGGCGCCCAGGCTCCGCCGCCGGCCTCGCGCATCTGCGATCGGCCCTAGAGGCCGGGGCGCGCTCCGCTGGCCAGCCCCTTGGGCCGAGCGGCCGGCCGACCTCCTCGGGCGTGCACAGGCCAAGGCCAAGGGGGCACAGTGCTGACCCTCTGACTCCGTGGGGAGGGTTCCGGGCTTCAGCTCGTAAGGGTGGCCCCAGGCGGGTGGCTGCGGAAAGTCCCGGGCGAGGGCGCGCCGTGCTCTATTGTGGCCATCAAGCGGCGCCCCGGGGGACACGGGCGCGCGCGAGGCGGGGCCTGGGCCGGCCGGGGCCGGGGCGGGGCGGCTCTCACCCGGATTGCCTAGTGGAGGCCTTTTCTCCAAGCTCCAACGGGAAAGGAAAGGGGATTTTAAGCAATTTTGTGTACCTTTGGGCATCGAACTGGCACTTCGAAAACACTCCCTAAAAATTGAATGAGTAAACGAACACGAAAATGCATTATCTTCTGGTTCCCCCACTCACTAGTGAAGTAAAGTTCTCTGATCATCTAACGTGGCCAAGAGTCAGAACTGATCCGATTACAGTGAGTGTGTTTGTTTGCTTGGTTTCTCCATCCTTCTCTTAGATTATGAAATAGACATAAAAGTATCTCCTTTTCAGAATCGGCAAGGTCCCAAGCTCAAGAAAGGTCTTTACCAAAGATGTAAACATTGGTCTCTTCCTCCTTCTCAGGATGTAATTTCTCACACTTCGCACCGTGTGTTTCTAGGTGGGTGGGGAGGAAACACAGCAAACTCAGACCAAGCTTCCTACCATGGAGTTGATTCCAAGTCACAGTGACCTTATGGGAGAGGGTTTCTGAGACTAACTCTTGACAGGAGCAGACAGCCGCGCCTTTCTCCTGCACAGTATCTTGTAGGTTTGAACCGCGGATATTGTGGTTAGCTGCCTAAGGCACAATCTACTATGCCCCCAGCGCTCATTATTTTATGTATTATTATTTATATCTGACAACGTTCAAAACAGCATATGAGGTGGCTTTCAGTAAATTTTAAGGCCCTGCCTGTCTAAAGACTCAAGTGCTTAAAGTTGGCGGTTTCAAACCCACCCAGAGGTGCCTGGGAAGACTCTGACACGTGTTCTCCATGAACTGGAATGACCTAATCAGCGGCTGGTTTTATTTTGTTTTCAGTTATAGTTTAAACACTGAAGGCACTCTAATGGATGTTTTTAAATCTCTTTGAAGGAGAAGGGAAGCTTATACTAACCACCTATTGCAGCAGGGCAGATTCTGGCTCATGGCGACCCCTTGTGTATCAGAGTAGAACTGATAGCATTTTTCAATGGCTGATTTGGGGGAATTAGATTGCCAGGGCTTTCTTCTGAAGTGGCTCTGGGTGGACTTGAACGTCTAACCTTTAGGTAAGCAGCTGAATATGGTAAAGGTTTGCACCTCTCAAGGTGCAGACTAACTACTTGCTGTTGTTAGGTGACATGTAGTCGCTCCCAACTCATAGTGACCTATGCACAGCAGAACAAACACTCTCCAGTCCTGTGCCACCCTCATGATTGTTCTTATGTGTGAGCCCATTGCTGTAGTCACTGTGTCTGTCCTTCTCATCAAAGGTCTTCCTCTGTCTCGCTGCCGCTCTCCCCACCAAGCATGTTGTTCTTCTCAGGGACCGGTCTCTCCTGACAACATGCCCAAAGTATGTGAGACAGAGTCTTTCCAGCCTTGCCTCTAAGGGGTATGCTGGTTGGACGTCTTCCCAAGACCAATCTGTTGGTTCTTTTTGGCAGCTCGTGGTACTTTCAATATTCTTTGCGAACATCACAATTTAAATGCATTAATTCTGTGGTCTTCCTTATCCAGTGTCCATCTTTCACGTGCTTATGAGGCAATTGAAAACACCATGGCTTGGGTCAAGCACACTCTAGACCTCAAAGAAACATGCTTGCTTTCAAGTCTTTGAAAGGGTCTTGTGCAATAGATTCACCTAATGCAATGTGTCCTTTGATCTCCTGATGGCTGCTTCCATGGGCCTTGATTGTGGATCCAAGCAAGATGAAACCCTTGACAACTTCAATCTTTTCTCCATTAACATGATGTCACCTATTGATCTGTTTTTGTTGTTGTTGTTTTTACATTGAACGGCAATTCATACTGGAGGCTGCAGTTCCTGCTTTCCATTAACAAGTGCTGTAAGACCTGCTCACTTTCAGCAAGCAAGGTTGTGGCATCTGCACATCGAAGGTTCTTAACAAGCCTTCCTCCAGTCGTGATGCCCTCGCCTTCTTCAAAAAATCCCACCTCTCTGATTCTTTGCTTAGTATACAGATTGAATAATTATGGGGAGAGGATACAACCCTGTTACACACCTTTCCTGATTTTACACCATGCAGTCTTCCTTTGTTCTGTTCCCACAACTGCCTCCTGAGCCATGGACAGGTTCTGAATGAGTACAATAAAGTGTTCTGGAATTCCCGTGCTTCTCAAAGCTATCCAGAGTGTGTTATGACCAACAAAGTTGAATCCTTTGCATAGTCAATGCAACACAAATAAGCATATTTCTGGTACTCTCTGCTTTCAGCCAAGATCCATCAGACATCAGCAATGACATCCCTTGTTCCATGTCCTCTTCTGAATGCAGCCAGAACCTCTGGGAGCTCCTTGTCCATGCACTGCTGCAACTGTTGTTGTGTGTGTGATTTTACTTGTATGTGATATCAATGATATCGTTCTATAATTTGCATATTCTGTTTGGTCACCGGTTTTTTTTTTTGGAATGTTACAATTTATGGATCTCTTCCAGTCAGTTGGCCAAGTAGCTGTCTTCCGAATTTCCTGGCATGGAGGAGTGAGTGCTTCCAGTGCTTCATCAGCTTGTGGAAACATTTCAATTACTATGGCATCAGTGTCTGGAGTCTTGGTTTGGGCTACTGCTTTTAGTGCAGCTTGAACGTCTTCCTTCAGTACCATTGGTTCTACATAGGTTGTTCTAACTGAACTTTCAGCTTTCTGTCATCTGAGCAAAAGGAGGTCAGTGATGTGGCATACTAGATTTAGATGATAAAAGACCATTTCATCCACGAAGTCAGTTTCCTTTGCTGAATCCCTTCTGTACAATAGGCATAGGGGTAATCATGAAGACAAATGTCATGACCCCGACTCTTACGTGCTACCCAGTCCTCAAGAGGCACAGAATCTCCACCATCCTTATATGCTCTAAAGGAAACGGACTGTGAGGTCTCATCCCTTACAAACACCCACGCAGTGTTGCAAATATTTCCAGCCCTCGTCTTAGAAGCGTTTCAAATAGTCTCTGAAAGTTTGTGTGGGTATGTGTGAGTCAGGAGTGGCAGGGGAAGCAATACACACTCTATGCAGCATATATGTGTTGTTAAATGTTAAAAATGGAAGTCTATAAAATGCTAATTGTGATTAATTATTGGTTGGCAAAGTTATGAGTGAGTTTTCCATTCCTTCTGTGGACTATGCAGTTCCCCGCAGGATTGTGTCCTGTCCCCACACAATTCACGGCGCAAATACCTGGAGAGGCTGGACTCGATGAAGGGCTCGGCGCGGGGAGTGGACGAAGATCTATTCACAACCTACAACCCGCAGATGACAGCGCCTCGTTTGATAAAAGTGAAGAGGACCTGACGCATTTCCTCAAGAAGATCAGAGAATACAGCCTCCAGTGTGGAGTAGGCCTTTCCTGATGTTGAAGCATGCACGCTCAGAAACAAACTCACTGCCTCTGAGTTGATTGCAGCGGATAGCGACCCCACAGGGCAAAGTAGAACTGCACAATTACGTGTTCGGGAATTCCCAATCTTTCGCAATGTTATCCATCGTTGTGATTCATACCTCAACTATCTTCAAACTCAATTCAGTTCACTGCTATCGAGTCAATGCTGACTCTCAGTGGCGCTAGAGGGCAGGGTAGAGCTGCCTCTGTGGGTTTCTGAGACTGTTTATGGGAGTAGAAAGCCCTGTTTTTCTCCCCAGCAGCAGCTAGTGGTTTCGAACTGCTGACCTTTTGGATAGCAACCGAATGCATGCCACTACGCCACCAGGGCTCCTTCAAATGTCTTTGCATAGTCAATAAAACACAGGTAAATGTATCTCTGGTATTTTCTGTGTTTGGTCAAAATCCATTTGACATTAGCAACGATCGCCCTTGTTCCACACCCTCTTCTGAATCTGTTGATGTGCTGCTACAACCATTTTAGAATTATCTTCAGCAACATTGTACCTGTGTGTGATATTAGTGATATTGTTTCATAATTTCTGCAGGTCAAAACTAGGAATGGAGGCTGTCAAGCCTGCTCTGACCCATAGCAACCCTATAGACACAGAAGGAAACACGGCCAGGTCCTGCACCGTCTTCACAATCATTGGTCTGTTTGAGTTGCAGCCACTATGTCAATCCATCTCACCGAGGATCTTCTTTTCCACCGACTCTGCACTTCACTAGACATGATCTCCTCCTCCAAGGACAGAGGGAAATAGAGATAACTGTGCAAATGTACACACATGGCTTCTCCCATTTCCTCCTTCTGAAGTATAACTGTGTATGCTTGGGTATTTATGTACTCCCTCCTGCCAGCTCTGCCTTCTGAGACTGCTGCCTAATAAAAATCCCAATAACAATAAGGACACTTAATGCCCAGATATCATGTGTTAAATACTACTATTGGAGAAAGCTTGAAGTGAGCCAGAAGATTAAGTGGTAGATATAGTTCAAAGTTAATTTCCTGTTTTTGATGGTTATATAGATGTACAGGAGAACATCGTTTGTTTGTGGGAAAGAAACCCTAAAACACTACAGGATGATGGCACGCCGGAAATGATTAAGAAAAACAGTATTTGCACTGGAGTTCAACTCTTCTGCAAGTTTGTTTCTTCAAACAGAGAAAAGATTGAAGACACACAAAGAGGAGTGTGACCAGATCCAACGCAGCACTGGAGCGGAAAGTGTGCACACTCCCCCAACTGCCAGGCATGATTGTCAGATGTGTGGGCTTACCTAACATATAGATGGAGAAGAGGTCTGAGCACTGGGCCCTGGTGTGTACCAGTGTTTGTTCTGTAAC